TATACTGTTGCTGTTGTTGCGGTGGCGCGGAGTAGGGCCCGGGTCTGCCCGCCCCTCGCGGCCCACTTGCATACATACCGGCACCGCCTGGCGGTACGCCGGCTCCGGGCATCGGTCCGCCACCGCCTACGGCGCCCATCGAGCCGTTACTCATGCCTTTATTCATACCCATCGGGCCGTTCATCGACATCGACGGCGACATACCATTGCCGGCGCCGCCGCCCATCATATTTGGGTTATGCATCGGTGAGGACATGGAGTTCATGTGTCCAACCATTGGACCGTTCATTGCATTCGGCGGACACGAAGACATTCGTTGATTGGTTTGCGGGCCGTAACTGTTGGACCCGTAGCTCTGGCCGTGCATTCCCTGCATCTGTTAGTAAACAATATATTGTTAAATATTTCTAACACTTCGGCCGACAAGACATGGGATGACATACCTGTCCATACTGTGAGTTAATCATGACCTCCTGTTGCCTTTCCTGCATCGCGACAACACTGGCCGTTGCGGTGGCCGTAGCCGTGGCCGCCGCCACCAACGCAGCCGTATTGATGGCCTGCTGTCCGCCCTGGAAGTCGCCGTTGGAGTTGGGCTGCGATGTGGGCATAGATCCGGCCATTCCGGCCGACATCGCTGTGGCCGTCGCCTGTGGGCCGTATCGGTGGAAGTGATCGGTCGGCGAAGCGTTTTGTTGTTTTCGTTTTCGGCTGTTATTATGGGAAACAAAAAACACAGAGAATAAGTCTCAGAGAATATATAGCAGAATATGTATATCACAACACGTGTTGTTATCACAGAATATTCTTAGCACTGATTTAATTAAACAAATAGTAACAAATATGTATGGCTTGGGAGAGGGGGCGGGGGCTAAGAATCGATGGGTAGGGGGAAGTGAGTGGGAGGTAATGGTTGAGATGGCGAGTGGTAAACAATATTAATACATAAGTCGATCGGACAAAAAATAAATAATTTATGAGCTGTTTATAAGAATCACAGAATTTATTATTGTTATCGTCGAGAATATTCTTTACACCCAATAATCGAACTTTATATGACTTTTTCTCTCTCTCTCTCTCTCTCTTTCTTTCTTTCTTTCTCTCTTTCTCTCTCTCCTTCTTTCTCTCTATTTTATTATGATATTTTCAATACAAAAGTGCTGTTATGTTGTTGTGTGCCTTATATCTGATAAATCAAATTAATTCGTTCACAAAACTGTTTAGTCGTTTCATGAGTCTGAATGTGAATATCAAAAGTCTCTCTCTCTCTCTCTCTCTCTCTCTCTCTCATACAAACATTCGCGCATTTTCTTATATAATTAATAACAACTCATTTAACAGTAAATCTTTTTAACATATCAAATTAAAGTTTATAATTAATATAAATTATTAAAAATAAATAGAGGTTATAAAAACAGACAATCATAATTTATGATTCATAAACATTTACAGTATATGTAAACCTCATGGCAAATATTGTATTATAATGTATTATGAACTAATCAATGAACGATTTGTGGTTCAATAATATGTTAGCAATATTTCAATCAGAATATCATTATTAATAATAATAATAATAATTTATTATATTTACTCAAAATATACACATATTTACAGATAAATGTGTTTAAAAATGATTTATCAAAAAACTGTTTCACATTTTGAATTAAAATATATAAAAAGTGAATATAAATCACAATTCAATAATGAAAGCAAATAAAATCTCAAATGTTTTCTCATTATATAAAGCATTAAATAGAATAAAAGAAAGAAAAGACAATTTTGTGCCAAACAGTGATTGGAAAATATATAGAGAAACCATAGGAGAGGAGACTCTCTCTCTCTCTCTCTCTCTCTCTCTCTCTCGCCATTCATTCACGTTTGACTTTAAGCTAAATATCACTAGTTTTTTGTGTTTGAATTTCTAAAGAAATAACTCATTTGAGAGAAAAAGTCATATAAAAGTTTTAAAAATATTTTATTCATTTGATATATATTTATAAAATCCTATTGAATATGACTTATAGTGAGAAGAGTTTAATTGTCAAAGAATTTTAATTTAGTTGAAATTTTCTCAGATTAAAGACATGTTATATTTGATGATAAACTCAATAAAATAATTATAAGTCAAATATCGTAGACATAAATATCTGTCTTTTCGACACTATTTTTTAGTGGAATTTTATTATTTTTTTGTTAAAAACAAAGTTATATATACTTTATTCTATATATGAAATTCTTGTCTAGAATTTCGCTCAAAGTCTTTCAGTTTCAATATTAAATTATATTAATATTGAGCGACTTTTTATGTGATGATAAATTGGCCTCTAATAGGATCCACATTACCCTACAGTATATACAATATATAAGTATTACATATATTGTCGTTGAATATAAACATTCTTCTCTCGGATAACGTCATTAAATTTGTTGCTCAGAAATCCTTTTCATATATATATATTAAAAAATATCATTCATATTAAAAAGTCATATCGTTTCAAATAATAAGATAGTCATTCAGTCATACCTATAATCATATGTCTTATGTAATAATAAGACGCTGTGATTACTCGCCTCCAGTGCCGCGACAACATTCATAATACATGTGTCGGCTTTTTCTTTTAGTCTTTCATTTTTTATATTTTATTTCATAATATATGCAAATCATTCATTTATTTAAAAAATGTTACTGAATATTCTCTCTCTCTCTCTCTCTCTCTCATTTAAAATTTAATATTAAACGCATAATTACCCCTTATGCTTATTACATGGGAGAAAAATTAAAACTTTAGAAGGTTCTTTTGTGATTATCAAGTACAATTGATCAATTCTACGGCGTTTTGTGCGTTTTGGAATAATAAAATTAACCATATGCACTTGGTATTTTATTATTGTAAATAATAACAACACTTGTATACATCCATTGCTTTATAATTATGTTTTATTCATAATAAAAGTTTATATTTTTAATTTGAAAAATGTAGGTAAGAGTGTAATTGTTGGCTGAAAATTACTGATCTTAATAACTTATTTATATAATTTATTTGTCTAAGCACTAAATAACAAATTCGTTTATATTGTATATTTAATACAATATTGTCTAAAGTCTACCTTAAATAAATTGATTTCATTATTTATTCATAATATTTAGCTTAACTTTATATAAACACTCAATTGATTTGAATAAAAATTGGAAAAATGGGAACGAAATTGAGTTTTATTTAGACGAGAAACAAAAATCTAAAACAGATAAATTGTATTTGCAGTCTAGCACTAAAATATTTAAATATTTCATTTATATTCTCGTTTATTGTTTTTAAAACAAATGATATAAGAGTTGTAAATATTTTTAAATCTATTCTTCATTATTGTTATTATTGAATGTTTCAATGTGTAAATCCTTCCCTCAAATATATTTTGTGTATATTTATGACATATTTTATGTCTACATTTCAATATTTGTAAAAAAAATTTGAGGAATTATGTGTGTGAAAAAAAGAATGAGAGAGAGAGAGAGAATAGTTTAAAAAAAGAGATCATTGTTTTTTATATGTGAAAAAGTTGAAAGAATTTTGTCTCAAACTTTTATAAATGAAATTTTGTTGAAATATTTATAAAAATGATAGGATTTTTATTATATTGTGTGCCCTTTTAGTATAATATCTGTATTTTTAAACTATATATACAGTATTATTAAGACGCTTGCTAAATATTCTGGTAGTCATATGAGCGGTGAAATTATGTCATCTACAGAGCGAGAGAGAGAGAGAGAGAGAGAGAGAGGTATTCTATAGTGATTTGAGTTGGATTTATACTACAGATATATACATAGAGGTAGTCATCAAATAACAATTTAATATTGAAATGTGATTTTAGTCAATATTAGCTCTGCTCTGGTGTTGCGCTTTGGCCTACAATTTGTAATATAATACGAATGCATATTAAGGAATCCCTATTCAATATCTTAAGGCAGAATACGCTCTCTATTTAATTATTTCCTAATATTTTATTGTAAACTCTCTCTCTCTTTCTCTCTCTCTCTCTCTCTCTAACTTACTTTCTATGTCGTTGTCGTAGTCGTCGACAAACACTTTATCACATAAACTCCTTTCCCTGTATTATAAACACAATAACAGAATAAACAACTGATTATAAGTTTATAACTCTTTTTTCATACCATATATCAATACATAATTCACGATAATAAATACTGGTAACCCAAAAAAAACGATATATAATTTTATATAAAACTTAACAATATAAATCTATTAAATTAAAGCATAAAAATTACATATAAACTGTTTGCCATCCTTTTTATGCCGGTTCGGTGCGAACCAATTGTTTATTCAATTGATTAATGATTTTAATATCGATTTGAGTGAAACAAATCAATGGACAGTCATTAGAAAGATATGGCAACAAAAGTAGTGATAATCGTATGACAAAAAATGAACTTACATTAAGTTTAATTGTTAAAAACCATTACAACAATAATAATAAATAAATAAAATGAAATAAATATATTTTTTGCGAATTTATTTATTAAGAATATTCTTTAAAACTTTTATTTGTTAATTGAAATAAACAGATACTCGTGTTATAATGACTCGTCTATGTCGGGAATGGGATGGCAGTCGCAGTCGGCGCCGGGCGCTCAGTGTCCTTCCCATCAACAGTCGGGTCCGCCCGGAGCTCAGCAACAATTATCGGTAGTGACCACCGTTTGGGGCGTCAAAACGAGTAACCAAAACGGGCCGACAATGGGCTACACTCACGGCGCCGGCAACGGGCAGCCGAACAACGGCCCCACCGGTGGTCCCTATGGCGGACAGACCGGTCACGACGGCTACAGTTCGTGTCCGACCACTCCTATGCCGCCGCAAAAGTCATACCAAACACAGACAATGTCGCAAAGAGGGCCCGGACCGGGATATGCCGGGTTAGTTACCATCATTATTTATCTCACTTTATTTGTAATGCTGTATAAGTATTCATATGAGTGTTTTAAGTGCCTTTTTCTCGTAATAAGATTAGTTTTTATATATTAATAACGAGAGAGAGAGAGAGAGAGAGAGAGAGAGAGAGAGAGAGAGNATTCATATGAGTGTTTTAAGTGCCTTTTTCTCGTAATAAGATTAGTTTTTATATATTAATAACGAGAGAGAGAGAGAGAGAGAGAGAGAGAGAGAGAGAGAGAGTAATATAGAATAATTTATTGTTATCGCACTCTAAGCTTACGAGCGACAAAAACTGGGTCTATTTTATCAAAACATTACATATTAATTGATTTAAATAACAGATTAAAAGACAAACTATGTTAACATATAGTAAAATATATGTGTGTTCTATAAATATAACGCTAATAATAAGTGAATAATATATTACTAATAGATTTTCATATACACGTTGTAACGCATCGTGAGATTAATAGTCATTTACTTTTCTTTTAAAACATTTGACAATTTGTTGACAACACTTGGTATCGATTTTAAGTGTTTGTCTTATAATTAAAGTCAAACTTTTGTTGTAATTATATATAATCTGTTAATTGAGATAAATTAGCGACTCTCTAGCGTTTCTCTCATCGATTCTCAAATGTCTCAATATTTGTAAAGTTTATATATATTTTGATATTTATTGTTATATAATGTATATATTAAGCAATTCATTCTCAACAGACAAAAGACATTCACAGTATATAATGTAAAGAGAAAATGAATATATATATTATTGTGGGCTTTACATCGGGGGTAAAGCGGTGTGGGTTTAGCGTAGGTTTTAGTCGCGATTATTGTTAGACACTCTCAGACATCGATTATTGGGTGTAAAGAATATTCTCGACGATAACAATAATAAATTCTGTGATTCTTATAAACAGCTCATAAATTATTTATTTTTTGTCCGATCGACTTATGTATTAATATTGTTTACCACTCGCGAGTAGCCGTATCTCAACCATTACCTCCCACTCACTTCCCCTACCCATCAATTCTTAGCCCCCGCCCCCTCTTAAGCCCTCATATATTTGTTACTATTTGTTAATTAAATCAGTGCTAAGAATATTCTGTGATAACAACACGTGTTGTGATTATACATATTCTGCTATATATTCGTGAGACTTATTCTCTGTGTGTTTTGTTTCCCATAATAACAGCCGAAAACGGAAACAACAAAACGCTTCGCCGACCGATCACTTCCACCGATACGGCCCACAGGCGACGGCCACAGCCATGTCGGCCGGAATGCAAGGATCTATGCCCACATCGCAGCCCAACTCCAACGGCGACTTCCAGGGCGGACAACAGGCCATCAATACGGCTGCGTTGGTGGCGGCGGCCACGGCTACGGCCACCGCAACCGCCAGTGTTGTCGCGATGCAGGAAAGGCAACAGGAGGTCATGATTAACTCACAGTATGGACAGGTATGTCATCTCATGTCTTGTCGGCCAAGTGTTAGAAATATTTAACAATTTATTGTTTACTAACAGATGCAGGGAATGCACGGCCAGAGCTACGGGTCCAACAGTTACGGCCCGCAAACCAATCAACGAATGTCTTCGTGTCCGCCGAATGCAATAAACGGTCCAATGGTTGGACACATGAACTCCATGTCCTCACAGATGCATAACCCAAATATGATGGGCGGCGGCGCCGGCAATGGTATGTCGCCGTCGATGTCGATGAACGGCCCGATGGGTATGAATAAAGGCATGAGTAACGGCTCGATGGGCGCCGTCGGCGGTGGCGGACCGATGCCCGGAGCCGGCGTACCGCCAGGCGGTGCCGGTATGTATGCAAGTGGGCCGCGAGGGGCGGGCAGACCCGGGCCCTACTCCGCGCCACCGCAACAACAGCAACAGTATAATCTCTCTCTCTCTCTCTCTCTCTCTCTCTCACTCTCCTTTGGTCCTTCATTTCATTCTCTTATTTCTCTGCCTATTATTTTCAATTATATTATAATTCAAACTTTTTCTGTTAAACTTTTAAAAAACGAAAACTTCTTTTGTGTGAATAATGATTACAACTAAGAAATTGTAATCATTCTTAACCAATGAATGCAGAATTTAGGGCTTATTTTCAAAGAATTAGTCCTCAAATGATATATTATTTCTAAGTTTTTAAATGATTTTAAGTGAATTGAAAAGATATGAACTCAAAAAACTCAATATTTTTACATTTAAAAATATACACAATATACATTATACACATGTAATATTTTAAATTGGATTAAAGATAAATATTTGATTTTAAAGTATATATCATATATATTCAAAAGACTACAAATAAAACCAGATTTTCCATTATTTCTATTTCACTAGTAATCTCGATATTTTGTTTGACTATAAGTCAGTCGGAAATATAATATATAAAATTTATATATTTCATAAAATGCATCTCAAAATACTATTGTTATCTTTCAGAGTATATTTTTGAAAATTCATTTCTATGATAGAAATTATTTTCAGACATATATTTCAAAAATTTACAATTTTAGGCTTTATTACGGATCAAAATGATAAAATAATTGCAATAATCTTTGTTTCAAAATAATAAGCCATAAACTCACATGAATTTGAAGCAACAAAAAATCATTTGAAATTTAAGCCCATTATAGGACTGCGAGTCTAGTAATCTGTATATAACTCAACGCTCTAATGGTTATACAGTAAACAAAGCAAAAAAAATAGTTATAGAAAATTGTTTGATATTTTGATACAATAGATATGATATATAATTTAGATAAAACTCATTTGAAGTCATTTTGAAGAAATTACAAGCAGTTTAACAACACATTTATTTTACATGAATTCAATTCGTGTAAATATAAAGAATCTAATTGGCAGTAAACATATATTCCGCCTAAAACAAAACAGGTTTAAAATGTAATCAATAAATGCATTCATTGATTGATTTTTTACAGTGAATGACATCAATATTCAATTTTAATGTAAATGTACAGTATATAAAAGTTAAGCTCAAGTTTTGATCTGTGAGTTTGAAAAATATAAAAGGTGTTTGAATTGTGAGATCAACTCTAAAAATCACATCATATGAAACAAGATGAGAGAGTGTTTGCAAATCTAGTAGAGAGAGAGAGAGAGCGAGAGAGAGAGCGAGAGAGAGAGAGAGAGGCATTGAGGAAAGTAATGAGTGATTTAAATGGAGAGACAATTTGTTGACATTAGGACAACGATCAGATCCCATATTCAAACGTTGCATTCAATTACATTGAATTACATTCGAGCCAACGGTTTGAATGCTCTATCAATTCAATTGAACGCTAATATAATGTAATGCCAGAGAATGGACGCAATCCATACAATAGGGTTGGGAATAGACACTGACTTTATATCGGTGTCCACTACTGTTGACATATCCATAAATACAGTATACTATATATTATTCTCTATTCTATGGGTCAATAGCTTGTCATCAATTCTCTATGTGTATACACAATATATCATAATAAGATATATTATATATTGTATAACATGTTATTGTCTTATATCGGGGTTATGTCACACCAACAAATAAAAATGTCTTATTATATCTCATTATTTATTTATCTAATTATTGTAATTTAAATGATATATACTGTTCACTAATATTCACACACTATTTACGTGCTCTTCAATTGATCGTCCATTAGTTTACATAACATAAAAGCATATTATTGTAAAACTTGGCTGTAAAACATTGATTAGACTATAAGTTATACGAGAGCACCCGTACCAATGCATAAGTCCATTCAGTTTACATATTACTCTCTCTCTCTCTCTCTCTCTCAAACATCATATCCTCTCAGTTTCTATGACTACATCACGGAATCACTGATTCCTTGTTGTTGATGATGTCTATCACTGGTTCGTAATATACTGTATATAAATGCAAAAGTTTATACAAATGTGATCTAGGCAACTCTATTTATGCATTCAATTCAATATATAAATTTACACACTTCCCTATTAATGGGAGGATTATTAACTATTAATCATAATTTCATAACGAAACCAAAAATAATCAACTATCATTATTTGTTTGCTAATTATTTATTAATTATCTGAGAGAGAGAGAGAGAGAGAGAGAGAGAGAGATGTTTCATATTGTTTATTTGTGAAGAATATAAATATTGTAATAAATAATGTTTACGTATAAATTTCTGTATCAATTACTATATGTACTTATATTTAAATTAATTGTTTAGTAAAATTAAGCAAAAATAAACTTACAAATCATTAATCATTTAAAGCAATAAATAATTAATAGAAAATGTTTTATTAAATTATTTGAATTTAAAAGAAAGTGTGTTTAAATAAGATTAGCATTGATTTACCGCTCACTAGTCAGAACATCCCATTCGTAACACTAATACACAAATGTATTGAAAACATTTAAGACAATAGTTATTCAGTTCACAATTGATCTCAATATATAGTCTCAGGAGAATTTTGTTCACTCAATGAGAGAGAGAGAGAGAGAGAGAGAGAGAGAGAGAGAGAGAGAGAGAGAGAGAGAGNGAGAGAGAGAGAGAGAGAGAGAGAGAGAGAGCCCAATGAGATGAAATATAATCATTGCTTTGATCTTGGGAAATAATGTTCCCAAAAAACAATTGATATATTCTTTGATTTTTTGTACAAATGTTAATATCTTAATACACAGAAAAATTCATTATAGCGTCTGAAGGGAAATGAAATATTTATTTGTCTAAAAATGTGTTTCACTATAACTTTACCAAAAGGAAAGTCAAATTAATTTTCATTTCATCATTTGAGTGCTTATTGTTTGCTATAAAAGTTAATTCATTTCTTACGCTAACTCTTCTCCTTTAGAGTCGTTTTGTAAATATATAATTCAAACAAAATGACAAAAAATACAGACTAAATGAATTCAATCTAATAAAAAACACTTTTACCAAATTAATTGTGTAATTATCAAGATTAAACGTTTGAGCCATTAAAATTCGAACAATAAATACTATAAATAATGTACAAATTAATGTATATATTGCTAATCTTTTACATTTCTAACAAATATATTTATTATATAACATATAATATACATTAAATATGTCGTCAGAATATTTATAATCAAAGGTGAAGTCCGCTCTAAATAACATTTGAAGAACATAACTTACTTGTTAGAAAATTAGTATTAACTCATTTATAAAGTTGATAAAGTTGAAGTAGCTCACTTTATTATTTCTTGAAGAGATGTATTTTCAATATGATATGGAAATGAAACTGTGTTTATTCAGCTATAGTATTGATGCAAACTATTTATCTCTAACTAATCCGGATCCTGAGATTGTGTTTGGATCATGTTATACAATGGCTTTTCAACTATTAAACAAATTGGTCACCATGTATGTAGTTTTGCTAACCGTCATTAACATAACACATGAAAATGTAAAATTTAACACCGAACACGATAACTTAACTTTTTTATATCTCGAATATTATTCATTCGACATAATATTAGAACTCTTGTTCGATAAAATTTATTTGCGTAATCTGGGTATTATTTTTTTGGATATTATATATCAATTTGATTTACAATGTGGTAACATTTGTTAGAATATGCAGAAAGAGTTAGGTATTTGTATGGAATATCATATGAATTAAATATACAAAAAATAATTTGTATAAGTAATTAAAATAAGTTAATACTAATTTTCTAAGATATGTTCAGCAAATGTTACAACGAAATCTGACTTATTAATATATAATTTAATTAAAATTGTTATTTTTACACATTATCTAATAATTTGGATTAAAATACAACTGTATATAACTGTATATAAATACATAGAATATATGAGTAATGAAAAAAATGTTGTTCAGAATTAATCGGTAATAATGAGAAAGAAAAGAGTAATTATTTCTTTAAAGGTCTGCTATTTGAGCACATATTGTAATACATATAAATTATATGATATAATGGTTAAGTTTCATACATAATTTTAGTTACTGTGGAGATAATAGTCTTACATAATACCGAATATCAATATTTTTCTCTCCCATACATACATATAGTATAGTATTAACTATGGATTGTATAAAATTAAAGTATTCGGGGGTTGTTTTCATGATATTTTCAATCACTAAAAAGAGTTAGGTATTTGTATGGAATATCATATGAATTAAATATACAAAAAATAATTTGTATAAGTAATTAAAATAAGTTAATACTAATTTTCTAAGATATGTTCAGCAAATGTTACAACGAAATCTGATTTATTAATATATAATTTAATTAAAATTGTTATTTTTACACATTATCTAATAATTTGGATTAAAATACAACTGTATATAAAAGTTGTGCAGAATTAATCGGTAATAATGAGAGAGAAAAGAGTAATTATTTCTTTAAAGGTCTGCTATTTGAGCACATATTGTAATACATATAAATTATATGATATAATAGTTAAGTTTCATACATAATTCTAGTTACTGTGGAGATGATAGTCTTACATAATACCGAATATCAATATTTTTCTCTCCCATACATACATATAGTATAGTATTAACTATGGATTGTATAAAATTAAAGTATTCGGGGGTTGTTTTCATGATATTTTCAATCACTAATTACATTATACTAAATACTATTCTCTTATATGCAGATAAATTATATTTTTCTTTCTACTGAATACACATTCATTATATAAATAACTTTATATATAACATGAAATTTATCATCAAATATATGCACCAAATGACTACAAATTTCTAAGATCCGCACAAATTCTCATTAAATTTTCAAAATTATTATTAAATATACTTTATTTTCGCCACTATTTATGCTAAAACCAAATTAAAATACATTTCACTAAATTTCAAGCCATTTGTTCTCTATTGTAATCAATCAGTAAAAGCCAAAACATTTCATGAATTAATAATCAGTGAATAAAATTTAACACTCATTAGATTTGTTTAAAATATAAATACAAAAAACCATAATAAATGCTATACTGTACTCAATTCAATTAAATCTATTTAAAGAGCAAATAACAAATCAAAAACACCCATAAATAGAAATCAAAATCCAATTTCCTCGTCAATAAATCT